GGGATGTGTCCCATTCTGTCTCTACTCCTCCAACATCAGTGGCCTGGGGTCACTTCCCAGAGGTGGGATGGAAAAAGGTGGAAAGGGGGTTCAGAGAGCACCACAGTGTAGGCAAAGGCAGAGAGGTGAGAATCAGCCGGAGCTGCCCCAGGCCGGCAGGCCGGCCAGCACTAACACAGGTTCTGCTGTCCCCCCCGCAGAGCACTTCAGTCGCCATGCCTGGAATGCGCCCAGGTGAAGAAGTCAGGTTCGGTCCCACCCACAGCCCGCAGCTCCCCCGTGAGAGGGTGCTCCCGCAGCTCCTCCTACGACAGCACCCGTACCTCCAGCCACTCCTCCCGATCCCCGAACCCCAGGCCCTCCCCCAGGTACTCCCGGAGCCGCTCCACCTCCTCTGGGAAAAGGTGAGTGCAGCGTTGGCTTTGGCTCTGAGCATTTCCTCCTTAGCCAGCTGATAAGGCAGCCAGAGGTGTCCTTGGACCCGTGGGAGAGGGGAATGCCTGTTCACCCAAAACCAGCTGGCAGCCTTGGGCCTCCATTCATCTCCCTGGGCCTCAGTTTCCTCCTCTGCAAAATGAAAACAGTAGCAATATTTACCCCGAGGGATTGTTCTGAGAACTACAAGGCACTTAGAGCAAAGCTTGGAACGTAATAAATATTAGTTATTATTGTTACTGGCATGAGGATGAGCTCATGTGTGTCAATTAGCTTCTGCTACATAAAAAAATTGCCCTNGGCATGAGGATGAGCTCATGTGTGTCAATTAGCTTCTGCTGCATAAAAAAATTACCCCGAAGCTTAGCATCCTTCAACAAGTATTTATTTAATTTTTGATTGTATGGACCAGCAATTTGGGCTGGGCTCAACTACGTGGTCCTTCTCATCTCTCTTGGGCTCATGTACGTGTCTTCCTATCAGCTGGTGGATCCGCTGGCGGCTGGTTGGTTTGCTCCAGGTGGTCTCTCAACCTCCAGCAGCCTTGTCTGGGATTCTTTCCGTGGCGATGGCCAGGTTCCAAGAGTGAGAGCAGCAGTGTGCTGGGCCTCTTGAGGCCTAGGCATGAAATGGACGTGACACTCCCTCTGCCATTCTGTTAACCTTGGCAAGTCACAAAGACCAATCCAGATGCAAGGGGTGTGGATACAGGAAGAAGGATTGTCCGTGTTCTAGCATTGTACCACTCAGTTACAATAGTGATGGGTAACTTCTTGATTTTCTCATGTCAAATAATAATGCACAGACACAAGACCCCATTTCAGTGATGAGAAAACAGAGGCCCAGAGAAGAGAAATCGCGCAGCTAATAAGTGGCCAGGATAGTAAGAACTCAGTAAGAGGAAGTTGCCCATATTATTATTACCCGCCTGGAAGGGAGGGCACTGCAGTCTCCAAGGGCCTGCTTCCTCTGCCTGGCCTCCAGAAAGAAGCCTGGAGCCCAGCTACACATGCAGGGCAACCCCGGCGGAGCGCAGCAGGCTTCTCCTCCCCTCCAGGTCCTACTCGCGCTCTCCCAGCTACTCCTCCAAGTCGGGCAAGAGGAGCCCGCCCAGCAGATGCTCCCGAGCCCGCCGCAGCCCCAGCTACTC